TTTTTTTTTTTTTTTTTTTTTTTCTGTTCGCAGACTTTCGTGAATTCATGTGCTCCCTCTCTGTGTCGACTCGAGGTACAATGGAGCAAAAACTCCGCTGGGCGTTCAGCATTTACGACGTCAATGGCGACGGATTTATCACAAAGCAAGAAATGTTTCGAATAGTGGACGCGTTATACAAGACAATGGGCGACAATCCGGAAGAAACCGAAGGCATTCCGAACTGGGACGAACTCACACCCGAAGAACGCACGCTGAAGGTTTTCCATACCTTCGATTCCAATAAAGACGGTGTTTTATCGTTGTCGGAATTCATCGAAGGAGCGATGAAGGACAAAACTCTTGCGCTTATTCTAGAGCAAGGGGCGGAGAAGACATGAGAGGACTGTGTAGGCTTTCTGTTGGAAAGACGAGCGGCCGGTTGAGGAGGATACGTAGGTCAGGTCATTTTAAATTAGTTAAGTGACATTGAATTTTAATATGGATAGCTTGAAATACGTGTTTATTGTATTAGGCACCCAATTTCTTTATCGAAATGGACAATTTGATGCGAAGGAATCCCTCTTCCATTTTAAAAATAGTCCATGGTATAGGTCACTAACTAGTTTTCTATAATTATAAATCACTTAGGCTCGGACCATTGTGGTAGTATCTGCTGTAAAAAGACTTTTACGGTGCGGCGATATAAGCGTTTCTTTTGTCATTGGCGCCATAAGCACCAATTTTGACTTAGTTTTTCCAAGCCGATCAATGGCGATTGCGACGAACATTTTTGACTGATATAAGCTTGTGTTAACTTCTAATCTGAGAAGGTTAGTATTGAGTATCTCCCGCACAGAGTAGGTCTAAATGCGACGAACATTTTTGTCCTTCATTTATGCCCTTGACTAATCCCCCAACTACAGCTTTATGAAAATTTGCAGCTTCCATTAGCAAGACAAGGATAAGTTTGTGTTTAACTATTGATTTTAGAAAGTTAGTATTGAGTATTTCACGCGCGGAGTAGATTTAAAGCTGGCTTGTTAATTGCCGGACATAAAGAAAGCATTGCAGTTTATTGCTCTCTTCTCTCCCAAGCGCCCTTGAATAGGACGCTGGCCAAAATAGCAGTTGATAAAAAAGAAAGATCTGAAAAGGCATCGAGTACTGTCGTGGTGTTCAAGTCCACGCAAGGCAGATTATTGATTCCTGCTCAAATTACCAAGGCCCCGTTCACACTACGCCAGGGGAGTTTGAAATCGCAGCGTCATTTCTACGGTCAGGCGTACCTTCCTAACCGTAATCCGTCACAAAAACGGAGCTCTTCAAATCGGAGGAATTTGAAAACGCCAGCTTTGCGTTTGAGTGTGGACGGAAAACATTTTGAAAACGGAGCTTTTCCAAAACGATGACGTCACGATAATAAAGTGATTTCCCCGCCTGAGTTTTCGGCAACCACGAATCCAAAATGAACGGTGATTGCTGCGTTTTCAAATTTCTCCGGCGTAGTGTGGATGGAAAACATTTGATGCGTTTTCAAAGTGAAATCTCCGTTTTCAAATTCCTCCGACGTAGTGTGGATGGAAAACATTTGATGCTTTTTCAGAGTGAAATCTCCGTTTTCAAATTTCTCCGGCGTAGTGTGGACGGAGCCTAAACCAAATTACGTCACGTTCGAGCATGCCAACAAGTTGTCGAGATACATCATCAAATTCTCCTACCTAACGTCATTAGAAATGCTTCGAGACCAATAAGGAGAATTTGTATGCTGGGGACTCCCATATAAAAAGGAAGGGGGTGCTGGTCGTACCTTTTAGGGGTTAAAAAAGCGGTTTTGGTAGCTCTAAGGGTGTGTATCCTCGAAAGGTCGACAGCGGAAACTTTCGCGGTATCTTTTAGGGTACTGATTTAGCGGAAAAAACATGACAGGAGATAAAGTGTTGTTTTAGAATTGGTGCCTCTTAGGGGTGAAAAAAATTTCAAGCCACGCCCACAAAACAGGATCTTGGTTCCTCTTAGGGGTTCTTGTCAAAATTTCCGACGAGCACCCACGTCCTGTTTATATGGGAGTCCCTACCTCCCCCCGCCCCCCGGGGTGTCTGTAAAGAAATAGCTGAGTTTAAAACCGGGTATATTGATACAAAATAACCTCAACCCAAAACTGACTTAAAACAGGCCGATGGTTGGTCACAATTTTACAGGATAAAGATCAGGAGTTTGCTAAACTTCAGTTGATTTACGTTTAGCTTAATTTATACGTAAAACGAGTGCTAATACGACTCAAAACAACTTTTTGGCTCTCTATGCGACTAGAATTCCAAAAAAAAAATTATCACGATTAGTTATTGTAGTGCTTTATAATTAACAAAAAGGCTCTATTAAACCCCCTTAGGCAACTTTAATTCTTTTAGTAAATTTCACTCCCTATTTAGTGAAGTTTGGAATAATAATGTAATCCCCAGGGGCTTAATAGAGTATTTTAGTTCTTTAATAAATTTCGATTTTGTTGAATAAATTGTCAAAATTTAATTCAGGACAACTCACACGACACAATCGTGCTGTTGTCTTTTTAGAATATCAGTTGATTTTCTTGAAGGTGAGGATGACCTTTGTTAATGCTCACTGATTCTAACCAGTGTTTGTATAATAAAAAATCGAAAAGAATCATGTTTCTGTTTGTCTTTTTTGAAGTAAGTAAGATCACAGCGACCTCCTCTAGAGTATTTACATCCCCCTCCCCTACTATTTATCCGTATTTCCGATGGAAGACCTGACGCCCATTTGAAGGCTATGAATATTTCTAAATAACCCTAAATTTTCTAAATATCTTGGAAACTTCTAAATATCCTAAAAGATATCTGAATATTTGTGAAAGGCCCACTTAGAGGCAACACAGTGGTTCTTTCGTTTTGCAATAGATTCCTTGCGCGGTTCAAAGAAGTAAACTTACGTCTCTCATAAAGTGACAAAACTGTTTTTGGAAACTGACTCACCAAAAAGACTCTCAGGTGTTGCGAAGGGTAATCGGTGACAAGGAAACTTCCCAAACTCTGCAGAGTTCATGGCATCTTATAAAATTTATACAGTTTTTCGTTTGTTTGGTTTTTCAAGTCTCAAGTCAGGTAACGTGTTTACATGCTGAACGCACCCAAATCGCAGTAAAAACAAAAACGTCCACAATTCTCACGTCTGATGAAACTGTTATTATTCCGAAAGTAGTTCCGTAGTTTGAAACCTCGCATACTCTATGACCTCGATCGACAGCCTAGTAAAATCAGAAACTTATAAAAGAAACTTATTATATGGCTGTGTCTCACAAGGACTGGGAACTACCGAATTCACGAATTTGATTGGCTGAAATCGATATTGACCGCGGTCTAGATTTTCCCATCTAGACCGGTTTCATTTTGNTCGTGTGTACAGACCTCACTGCGTTCGGTCTGTACTCAAGACCTCGGTCAAGATTCTCCCATACAGACCTTTAGCTCGGTTAATAAGAGCTAAATAATTCTTTCTCGTACGAAAAGTTCTGTGGAGCCATTTAAAAAGGCTCCTTTCAGAGCCACCACAAAAACAAAAGTAGACATTTATAATTCAAGACTAAAGCCAAAAATGTTAACAGAGATGATAGGTTTGAGACGACTGGGTGTAAAAGCGAATGCAAAAAAATTTATAAAACAACTGGAAGTGTAAAACAATGAAAATGCAAGCAAGATATAAATTTCCAACCATATTTATTCGTTGTAATAATGGGTAAAAAGTTAATGGTAATGTTTTAAGAAATAGGTGATGAGTCATTCGAAATATAATATTGGAATATTTTAGGTGTTCAAAAAAATGTTGCCTTTCTTATCGCTGTTGATGTGTAAGCAGGTGCTGCGTTTCCTAGGAACTAGTTCTTCAGCGAAATATGTGTAAATTACTTGACTGTTGTTACACTGGAAATAGTGCCATGTAATCTAACTATTTTGAATGTAGTATCTACTTAAATAATTTGTTAGCCGATTCTTTGTAGGATGCCTTGGTACATTCATGTTCTGCGAGCACCACGCGAGAGCCCCCGACATGTGCGTGGATCCGCGCGGATATATGACGTCAGGATGGCGCAATTTGTTCTAAAAATAGAAAAATTGTCCCATATCATAGGTGCGCGCGGATCCCAGGGATTACGGTCTCCGTCCCCGATTATGGCTCATGATGGTACGTGATATTCGTTTAAGCAATTCTTTAGTTCGTTCAAAGGCACAAGGTAAGGCTCCTCGGCTTAGCAATTAAAAATTAAACTTATGACAAATGAAGGCGAAGACATAAAAAAGTAAAGGCTTTCGAGCACAAGTGTCAAGGAGTTTGGCTACTACCCGCCCGCCCCTACTGGATGGGATACAGATCCATTGCAGGGTTCCCCCCAGCGTTCTGTAAGGTTGCTCCGATAATTAGGTCTGCATCAGACCATTGGCTCATACAACCGGAACTTATTCAGTGGCATGAACTGACTAGGACTATTTCTACTCCCCTCTGGATGGGATCCTAGCCCACCAGCGGGTTACCCCCATTACCTGGGTGGAGAGAGGGATTCCGAGATTTAGGTGTCCTACTCTAGAACACATCACAATCAACAGATAAATGTCATAAAGAAATCACAGTTATGGTATGATATTCAGCGTACAGGTTGCTATTCATTGATGAAGCGAGCGCGAAGCACGCGGGGGTGGGGGTGGGGCTTGCGAGTGAAGCAAGATTTGAGCTGGCGTCCATCCGCGCGTTCAACGATCGAATAAAAAAATACGACAAAACAGAGGGCTGTGAACAGTCTATAATTATTATTTGAGAATCCTGACTTCCAAAGGGCTTTCCAAAAGACTATTTGAAGACAAAAGGTGTCTAAAAATAATTATCCACGTAAAATATGTTCAATCATCAATGGGTGATCAACCACTCCCGAAAGTAAAACGCTTGCCTCGGAAATCAACGGAACGTTTCCGACAGTACTTGGAAGGCCGGAAACCTCTCAAATCCACAAAAACTATTTACTTAAAATACGATACTCTATAATATTTCGGATTTATCAAGTATGAATACACGAGGTTGCGTTCAGAGGGTGCTCGCGCTTGATTATTTCAGTTTCCTTGTAACTTAAATTAACTCTCTCTCTTTATTGTTCGAGATAGTTTGCCCACGTGGGACAAACTTGTCTCCGTCAAAAAGTACCCGAGCCTTCGCTCCCCCAAACCAGCGGTCCGTTGATGAAATAAGGTTTACCATGCTCACCTCCCTTTATCAATTCATCGCACCCCTGACAAATGTGGGGTCCGTATTTCCATGACTTCCAAGCGTTTCAGACGGATTCTTATGAAACTTTGCATGTTCACAAAATTCGGCATGATAAATTGATGGTGCGGCTTGGTCCACTGCGTTCTTTTGGCAATCAGGAACTGTTTTGGTGAGTTAAACTTGATTTGATTGGCCACAAACCACTGAAATCCTTTCAATAAATAAATATAATGGTTGTAAACAATTACAGTTCAGCAGCTTAATGAGTCCTTAACCCCCCTCCCCCTTTAAAGACCAAATGTCCAGACCAATTCATTTTAAGAAACTTCATTGCACAAACACGAAGTGTTTTAATATTTGCACAAACACATTTGCTGTCAACGCAAAATGTTGTTAAATTTGTGTTTTCTCCGTTTGACAACAAAATGTTGTGTGAGTATAAGTGGAAACAGTTAGGGCGACAACTCTTCCACATGGGACGTTAACAGTATTAATCATATGAAACTACATCCAGGATTTTCTATATCCTCTGATGACATCATTTCCTGGTTGTTTGCACTAACAGTCAGTAAAAATGATGAGTGATAGATAATAGAGAAAATGACATGGTGACTTAAAGATATGAATTTTATTTCTTGCATTAGAAACAATATTTTACACACTCCCTGCACTCAATCATAAAATATTGTTTTTACCACTCAAAATAAAATTCATATCTTTGTGCTGCCATGTAAGTTCCTCTATCTCTGTAGACATGAAATCACAATTCACCACCAGCCTAAATAAGCTGTATGCCCTTGACAAAAGACAACAGACAGGAAAGATAATGATTTCTACACATTTATTCATTATCAAAAACTACTGCTTTGTAACGTACCAAAAAGAAAAACTATAAGATAATAATGAACATCACCTTTAATGTGACAACTTATTTACAGGAATTTTGAGGGGAAAGGCATCTATTGAAGAAAGAACAATGAATGGGAAAAAAGGAGAAAAAATAGGAGAAGATTTAGGACTTCTATATGGTATTCAGTGCTTGAAAACTAGAGTAGAAAGCACGAAGGGGAGAGAATTAATTTAAGAGCATAAAAATAGAAGTGAGAAAGAGGGATTAACCAATTAAAAATACCATGGCCTGCATTAGGCTGTTTTTCCCATGGACAGTGTGGACCTCCAGCATCTGGTAGACCAAACCACCATCATTTTTCAACCCTAGATAATGACCTCTGGGAAATTCATTTTACCAAAGCTGACTGTAGTAAGGCTGGTCAACAAATTACATGGCTGCTTTGCTCTTGAATCCAAAAGTAAGTTTCTGTCGATTGTTCCTGTTTTTGTTCAGAATGAGGTCTTGTGCAGCTTTTTCCTGCTTTTTGATTTCCCGTTCCAGGGACATTTTCTGCTCAGTTAGCGTTCTCCTTTCTTCGACCATCGCCAAACGCTCTTCTGCCTGCATGACGAAGGGAAAGAAAAGAATGAAAATAATAAAAATGTGTTCTATGAAATGATTTAATCATCCTGCCCATTTTAATCCTGATGGCAAGCAGGCCAGTTGATTAGCATACATGTATGGTAGAACAGGGATTTCAAACTCTCTTGAACAAAGACACCTTACTTGTTACACAAACAGATTGCTATATTCATGGTCACTGACAATCTAAGAGATCCTCATCCAAAAAAAAAAAACCAACAACAACAACAACAAAAAAAACAACATAACATTTGAAATTTCACTGGAAACTTGGGGATAAATATCGCAAATGGGGATCAACAAGAAACAGCAACAATGAAAATTTCCCCCAAATGTTGTAATTCCATTTTCTACAGCCTTAATTCTCTCCTGCCCCTCCCACCAAAAGTTGAAAGTAACAAAAATAATTAATATCTCTTTCTGACCATTATAAAATGTTAGAGGATTTTGTAACCATGGCAACTTTATTAACCCCTTTGCTGCAGACCTTTGTTTATACCAAAGTTCAGGTGTATGCGTTTGGTCTACTTTCTTCATGCATATGACTGAACTTTTGTTTCTATGCTGGACATTTTCAATAGGCCCTCCAAGTAGTAAAAGGGTCAACTAACAGACATCTCCAGGGTAAAATCTGCCATTAAGAAAATGGGGCACACCTGGTGCAAGATCAGTGATTGTGGGGGAAACTGAATTTCTTAACTTCCTCTAACTCTTTTCATTGGTACATTTTTGCTGTCTGTCAAGAAACACTATGTACTGTAGATGTTCTGGAAGCAGTTGTAGTTAAAGTGTTTCAAGTGTTTTTGAAACATTATGGTGTCGTTTAGTGTCATGAAAATTTTCAGTTAGGCTGTGGCTGGAGTAATAATTACTCCAGCCACAGCCTAACTCTATATGTCCCAGCTTTTATCACTGAAATCAGTTTCAATACATTCAGTTAAGTTATAGAAATTGCAGGACACTGAATTCCCACACAACACTATAAATTGAGCCACATTTGCCCCATTTTCAATATGGTGGATTTTACTTTAGAAAGGTCTACAAGTGTAGATCAGTAAAAACAAACCAAACTTGACCACTGATGCAAGATTATTTCTTCCTGCAGTGTGATGAAATAGAAGTACAATTTCTTTTAGTTTTCAAAAGACTAAAGCTAAAGCAAATATAGATAGAACTGATTACTAAATACATTATGCACAACTCAATGTATTCATGTTCAAAACCCAAAAGCAACTGGATTCAATTTAGCCAGTATTAAGGCCGTTTTGCCTCAGGGTTCACTAATGGCAAGCTCACTTACATCTGTAGACCAGATAGAAGATCTGTTACTTTTTACTCGCTTAAAGAATGTGAAATAGTGTTTTCAATCCCTAGTGTTCTAATTCTACTAATATGAGACATTAGCAAACTTGTCATTAGTGAAAAAACTTGTTGGCAAAATGACTGGTTACCCTTAGCCAACATGAAACAAAACCCAAGCAATCAAAAGTAATGTCAATTATGATGTAATGTAAATAAATGCCAAATATCAAGGAGGAAAAAAATCTTTGAACAGGTTTGAATTGTATGTACTCTAAAGCCTTACTTTCAGTAGGATTGAATGCTAACCTAGAATGGTTACAATTTTGCAGAACTGGCCAATCAAAGACTCAACAGAAAAGTGCAGTGCTTTCAGGAAGATTTAAATTAGGTGCCAGCCCTGGTGCAAAAACTGTCAGAGGGCAATAAGAGATGTGCATGACAACTTCATATAGAGGGCTAATTTCTGAAAACTGCTAACATTATAGCTAGCGATTTAAAACCTTAAGAAAATGTTGTTTGTACCAGGTATACTGGATTACAAAGGACACCAAAACTTCCATTTGTGTTCCAGTGCATTGTGACTTTGCATTATTTTTTTTATGATGAAAACTTTTGTAGTGAGGTTTCATTTCAAAATCCTGTGAAATCCATTATGAAGGTAAGGCTTAGAGTTCATAGAAAGTTAAGTCATTACATGGAACTATCCAATAACCTGACACAGTGATTTGCATGAATCTACGAACATCTCACAACTAGTAGGAAACGTACCAGTTTTTGATTGGCATCATCAAGTTGTTTTTGAAGTTCATCAACTTTGTTCTCAAGAAGATGAATCTTACGACGCTCTTCTTCCTAGAAAGGAAAATAGTTACCATTCAAGATATGTCTTTCAACATATTTTCACCTTTTTAGCATGGTACTGTACCACACCAAATACATCACTTACAAGGATGCTATCTGGTTTATTCTACCACCACCATCAAATAAGTTTTAGTAAGAACAAGATGGAATGGCACCAAAATTCAGAACTTTTATTGTTCCCTCTTATGGAAAATTGTCGCTAAAATGTAAAGGTAATGATACTTTTCCAACAACAACGACATACTGCACTAAAATACAAGCCAGTCCAGTGACAACAGAAAATGCAAGGCAAAACAACAAATGCCAAGAAATTTTGGTGCCCTCCCTGTTTGCATTAGCCATGATTATAACAATTCTTTCTCCGATAATATACCACATTGTGATACATGTACAAGTTCAGTTTTTCAATCAAAGCAAATTGAAACAGCATCTTACCAGTTAACACAACACAGTCACAAATCTTGTATAAATGTACATTTGTACACTTAGAAAATGTATGCCTACAAATTGCTTCATGAAGCACATAAACCGCGGTTTGATACCAGTCATACATACACATTTCCGCCTAACAATTCCTATGAAATGCTCCAAGCAAAGGCTCTGCGAAGAAATCCTTCAGAGTCTGTGAAGACTTGAACTCTCCCAGAAAGTTTCACTTATTAGAGGTGGCTCAAGGTGGAATGTTCCTACGAGAGGTGCGCTAAATAATTTTTCCATTAGATGAAAGTTCCTAAACTTTGAGCAATTTCAAAAATTGCGCAGTTCTTGAAAGATTGCAGTCTTTTGTAAAACTCTGAATGTTTGAATGTCAAGTTCAAGTTCAAGGATTTATCGGCACAAGAGAGAGTTAAGAAGGTTTAAATCCAAATGCTTGGAAAGACTGACTGTTCTTGACAATGTTTTCCTTCTGAACTGAATCGCCACCGGAATCTGTGGAAATAATCTGAGTGTTTGCAGAAAAACGACACACATTCACAAGCAAAAAAAGACCTCTGGACAACAAAAAGCAGAATTGAAGGGAATCTGTGACTATATTATAGAACCCCTCTACATAGCACCAATTTTATTCCTGTGCAAGTGAATCATATGAACAGTTGACATGGAAATTTTACAATCAGAGGGAAAAAAATACAAGACCTTTTTCGTTCTCAGTCACACCCCTTTGCCATCAGTCTAGAACTTGAACTTCCAGACATAAGATAATAATTAAATTCTTCACCTCTTTCATCTGCTGTTCTTCAAGTTGCTCCTGTCGTCGTTTTTCAAACTCTTCAACCATCTGTTTCTCCATAACACTCTTGGCTTCTTCAACTCTTTTCATAACTTCAGCATCAATTTCATCTTTCCTCTTTGCAAGTTGCTCCTCAACTCTCTTAGCAACAAGTTCTTCAACTCGCTTTTGTGTTTCTTCCTCAATGATCATCTTTTCTTTCTCTGTAGCTCGACTAATGAGGGAAAAAGATCATAAGTTTCAAACCTTGTACAGGGTTCTCATTAATTTTATTGTGACAACTTCAAATTTCTTTAGTTTTTGCAATGTGATTGGCATGGTACATGACCAATGTTGACAGGCAGGGTAGGGTGGGGAACATTTTGTTAATGTGATATTACATCACAACACAAACTCAACAACATTTTTAACCTGGATTTTCAAGAAAAAACACCTTAAATTAAGTCAATTTTCAGTACCAGAATTAAACCAATCAAATTATACAAAAGCAGACCTACGCACACAGACAAAAAGAACTGAAAGAGGTCTAACAATGGAATAATTAATGCAAAAGGAACAAGTTCGTTTAAGAAAAAAAAAAACCTTCACAATAAAGGACTAAAAGACCTTAACACAGTTTAAAACAATTCGACACACGTTAACTAAGTCTTAAATTGCACATCCTCAAGCTTGCTCTTACATTTTTCTTTGCCGTTCCATTTCTTGCAGTCTCTCTTCCTCAAGTTCCTTTCGTTTAGCGGGGTCATCGTCTTTTCTCTTCACTATCGATCGGCCAAATCTATCAACACTAGGAGAACGACTCCTACTCCTAGAATATCGCTTTTTTCTTCTCGGTGATCTCGAGCGTCGGCGAGGTGAACGATCGCGACTTTTCTTCGACGAAGATGGCGTCGAGCTCGGCGATCTACTCCGCGTTTTCCGACGATAACTGCGATCTTTCTTGTGTTTTCGACGCGGACTTCCACTCTTGCTTCTTGAGCGGGATTTTGACTCGCTCTTGGGCATTATGAAAGACGGAAAAATGGGTTTTAGACGCTGAAATTAACTTCTGTTATACTCATACCACGGTGAAGTAAAATTTATTCTTCATGCTCTGCTTAGTCACCGGGCCCCTGCTACAGGACAGGGCCACCCCTATCGGGCTGATCTAGGGCTGATCGAAAAGAAAAGTGATTTTACGGCTCGATATTCATACTGGAAAAATTACGCATATTCCATAAAAAAACAGAAGCAATTCTTGATACCTTACCAGAATTATTGTCTATTTTTTAGATACAAGTTTGGACTTCGTCTCAAAGTCCTCTTGTTAGAAACAAGTTATCCTAACAATGCCCACTCTCGATTTTTTGCTCGCCCCAATCTCTACAATACACGTAAGCCTCCAGTGGTGGATCTAGGGGAGGGGCCCCCGGGGGCCTGACCCCTCTCTCCTTATTTTGGGTAAAAAAGAAGTAATCACAGAGGTGCAATCACCATTGTCACGATGTCTTGTATTTTTAATTATTATATTTTTAGTCCAGGGCCCCTCTGGCTAAAAGCGTGAATTTTTTTTAGCATATTTCCGACGGAAGTGGAAAGAAATTTACCTTATGAACTGGTTTGTGACTTCAGTCTGAACTTCTCTAGAGTATTGTATGTTTCTTTGCCGGAAATGACAAGCGATTCTTAAAGTCAGTTTGGTTTTCTAGTTGACGAATTACCCGAGCTTGGGCATACTATGAAATCGCCTTGTTCTCAATACTAACAAGTTAAAAATTGTCTATTCTCTGAGTCTGGAAGGGCGGTTAGCTGGGACGTGAGGAAATAAACGCTGAAAAAATTGAAGCGTCGAAAGTTTTATACAAGTAAGCCGGGAGCTTTTCCCGCCTTACTTGTAAATTTTCGAGGCTTCAATTTTTTTGCCGGATTTATTTCCTCCCGCCCTAACTAACTGCCCTTTCCGACTCCGAGCTAGGATGCTTAGTTTGGAAGATGCTTGACAGGTCGACGAGTACTGGACACCAGTTCGGTATTTAGCTCACGTCCTACCCCACGCTACAAGGGAGCTTTTCTCAGCACCTGAATGAGGCAATTGTTGCTATGACAGTGATTGGATAAAAATGGCGGACTTCTTCACGAAAACATAGAAGTGATCTACACAAAAGACCAAAAAAGAAGATCACTGCTTGCTGAATGAGGTAATCGCAAAGAAATTCAAGAAGTCAATACCGTAAGGAATGCCTCTGAAATCATTTCAAGATATACAGCTTAGATTTTAAGAATTTGCAAGTGTTTTTCTCAAGTTAAATTTGACAGCGTTTGTGGACCAGTTGATCAAAATCTTGCGCATAAACAATGGATTTGGACCGCGAAGACGCAACGAGTTTGCAAGCAGGTTCTACAGATGTTGCATCTCAGGCGGCGGGAGCAGTTACAGTGGCGGATTCCAACTTAACAGTTCCAGATGAGAATAAAAATGGCGGATCTAACTCATCGTCGGAGAGTGGTTTGGAGGTCGACAGAGCCTCAGTTGGACATGGTAGCGCTGGTTCCGATGGAGAGCGAGAAATTGAACCAACAGAAATGGTGAGTTCTGACATTTTGCGTATCAGTGCATACCTTTTAATTAATGGGCAGGCTATTAATAAAAGTTCTTGCACTTTTTTAACTTTACACTTCGCATGATCAGCTGAGTTTACCATGTACTGTCTTCTTACTCTTATAGGAATGCGTATAAGCTTGAGATTTAGCAGATTTAAAAACAATGTTCAAGGTTGCTCTAAAATGTTTTTAGATGTCGGAGTAAATTCTGTTTTCAGTTTAAAGTTTGATAGCACAAATGCTATTATTTTTTCTTGTTTTGATAATCAAAAGTACGAGAGCGGGTAAACGATTTTATCTATCTTCTTATATGGCCTTCCCGCGCTAAGTATAAGCATATTTTTTAAATTTATGGTTAAATTTTTAGGCGTATGTAATTCCAGATCCTTTCAATTGAGCTTGTAGCACACCAGTATCTGTACAACGGTGTGATGTTATTATTATGAGACAGAAACTGGAGGTTCCGTGAACAGCTTCCAGCAGATAATCTAAAGTAAAAGAACAAAAACAACAACAAGGATTAATTCATTAAGCAAAAGTCTAAACCAATGATAAACCTATTTTACATTATTTGGCTACTAAGGTAGCCTTCAGAATATGGCAGTAAAATGATATCCTGCTTGTGCAGAGGTACTGGCATAATTGTAATGTAGAGATACTTTGTGCTAACACATTGATAAATGTCTTATTTTTTAAGGTACCTTTGATTAAGGAAAGAGTCACATTAAGCAGCCTGAAATCTGATATGTGGACCGCTGAACATGATGCAACCATCCTCAGGTTTCTGAAAGATTCCACCCTCAGACTACTTGTGGTTTACGTTGACAAGCTCTTGGGACTGCAAGTTGCACTGTCTGTCCCTCCTCACCCAGCGGAAGAAATGACATACATGATCAGGTTTGAGGATGTCGTGCTCAACCCTGACAATATCGAACAGAAGCTTCAGTTTGGTACAATCAGGGCAAACCACATTGAAAGTCTTCTGAGGACCATGACAAATGTCTATGCACCCTTGTTCTTTGGAAATAGATCTTGGCCAGATAGTATCCTTGAAAAATACAATAGATTTAGATGCAGTCCTTAGGTAGAGGTTTCCTTACACTATAGTTTAAAACAAATGAAGTAGTGCTCCAGAAAGGTGAGGGGTCTCGGGTCAAAAACCCGACAAGGTCATGTACATGACCTGACAAATTAATTGGAAATTTATAATGAACTTGGGAATTAGCCCATTGGAATTCCCTATTGACACCCTGCCTTGAAAACTTATCTAGAACCCTGATGAAGTCAGTTTGTCTTCTGTTATTTATGCTATCCAGAGTTTGGCAGGTGCACGAAAAAGGCAAGCAAATAATTGTATTGGAAATGGGAGCTGGAGTGGAATCCAACACAAAAGTTAAGGTGGGATTAAGTGTGCCACAGGGTTTTCAAGGGGAGGGGGTGGATCATGCAAAAGCTTAGGGTTTTTTGAAGCTTGCCAGATCCATTGCATTGAGAAGACAAGCAAATCAATGCATTTGACAAGGGAAATCTACTGGATGCAATCAGAAAAGTTTTCATGAGGTTCTAAAACAGACTCAGGTGTAGCACAGTGTATAAACTTGAACAGAATTTGACTAATTAATTCTAAAATCATTTGTATGAGGTAATACCGTTAAAGGTCTTTAACTATAAACCAGGCATAAAAAACGACTTCTCAGCTCAGCTACACAAGTTCATGGCTAACCTGACAGACACTCGCTATAAGATGCAAGGAAAGACTGTCCTTTATGTGCCAAATGAAGGAACAAGACTGTCTGTTGAGGAGGCTGCGAAGAGTAAAGAATTTGTGCAGCGTCTTGAAAGTGAGTTTACTCAGCAGCAATAGATGATGAGTGCAAGGAAGGTGCCTGTAAGGCTGGTGGAGCAAGGTCCTACAAGCTGATGTTGCAGGGCAACCATGACAACCCTGCAAGCAGCAATCACCAGGCACTGCTATACTGCAACACTTTGACAGTGGAAATTAATGCTTACGCTGTACTTACCTAAGGGAGATGGGTGGGGTGGGAGCAAAGCCTTTGAAAGCAACATGAAGGTTCAGAAGGGAAATAGCCTGACGTGAATAACAGAGCTGTGAATTCCCGGGCCTCCTTGCAGAACCCGCAGAATGCCTGAATTAAGGAGGGACACCCTGGCCAACAACTGCTTCAAGTTTAACTTGGCCTAAGTTGCATTTAATCTTCAGTCATGGACAAAAGCAGGCGAGACACTCCCTGAAAAAGACCTGTTTCATTGAATGCGCGAGTTTTTCAATCTCTGATTTTCACATTTTGACCCCTCTGCCCTTTTCAATGTTGTAACCACGTGACAGTGTCCATGGCACGTATTTCAACATTGGAAAGGGGGAGAGGGGGGTTTGGCTATCAACGAACAAGATGTTTTCTGAAATTACAGAAGGACGCTGATAGAAAGCGTTTGTTTTGCTCTAATGTGTCAACACTTTTGTCCATGACTGTTGCTTAAACTTCACTGCATTACATGCATTACATGTATGATCAACAACTGTTTTTACAACTTTTAACTCTCTTCTGTCTTAAACTAAAGATTTTTAAAATTCTTGTTATGGTTGAAGTTCCTTGAAGTTTTGTGTTACTTGAAGAAAATGTACCCTTGTTGATGCATGTAGTTAAATGTCAGCTTTTTTCTTAATATTACTGGTAATTTTATTATTTTTTAATAATTTTATTAATTATTTTTTAATAATTTTATTATAATTGCTGCCTTGACTACATGTAGCATCTTATGAATATTACATTATACAATGTAGGTGTCAAATTATTTTTCTAGTCTCCAAATTTCTGTAGACGTTCTCACCTGGTATCCAACCAACTACATGAATTTGTGAAATTACATTTTTTTTTTTAGCTGCCATGATCCACTGGACAAGACAAATTAAAGAAGTTCTTAGTAGTCAAGACACATTTGAGGCAGCAGAGAATTCAGGCCCACTAGAAGAGATTGAGTTTTGGCGCAGTCGTTGTGCTGATCTGTCAGGAATCAGTGACCAACTGGACAAGCCAGGAGTGAAAAGAATACAATCCATTCTGGAGCACTCCAAGAGTTCTTATGTGGCTCCATTTCTGAAGCTTTCAAAGCTTATTCAGGTTTGTTTGTGACTTCTGCAGCCTAATTATAGGCCTTTTCTAAAAATACAGTGTACCATGTGCAGGTTTAGCCTCGCATGGACGGAGTAATTATTGAGTCTCATTGTTCTAGTGAGGCAATGGAATTGAGATTACCTGAATTTTTTTTTAACTAGCAACTAACTTTTCACGCTTTTCACTAAAATACTTTTGCTGGCAACTAAATCTGAAAACTTAGGGGACAAGTGGCCCCATTTTTTTTCCTGAAAGTCGAGCCCTGTAAAGAATGCCAGAATCTTAGAAGTTTTTGAGGCCAGTGGAAATTATGTTACAGATTCATTGCAAGCAAAGAAAAAGCCAATGTATACCATCTAAGAGGTACATGTACTGTAAGAAGTTGTTGCATTGCATGTGCAGCTTGTGTCAAGGACAAAGAACATGGTAAATCCTTGGATCCTGAATATGAGGCTTTATGTGCAGCTCGAAAAATATTATGGTAATTTTATGCCTAGCTACCCCCAGTTTTCCTTGGGGATTCCAATAGCCCTTTCTTAAATCTTCATTTTCAACATAGTCCTAATTTGGGCAAAAGGTCATTGCTTTTATAGGCACCATCCTTAATCGAGTAAATACATATAGGAAGCGAATTATTAAAAGCAACATGGATTGTGGACCTGAGTTACTCCAATTTGTTTCGTTGACAGGATGGATCTGCCCAAGCTCAGAGCAACCTGAAATTCCTGTCCACACTGAAACAACCTTGCGAAGAATTGGCTCAAGCACAACCCAAAGACATCCCAGCAATGCTACCTAAAATCCTGAACATCATTCGCATTATCTGGATGAACTCAGAACATTACAGGAGTAGAGAGAGACTCACTGGGCTGCTCAGAAAGGTAGGTTTTACAGTCAAATGTCATTGTACATAACATTCCAAGGACTATAGGAAACATGCATGTTACTGATGTGTTAAATTTCACTTTTTAGAGACAAGGTCTAAGCTACATGTCAATACCAAAAGTACTACCTGTGACACAATAATTTGTAACTAGGTGTCTTTGTTAGAGCGGTTTTCAATTGAGTGTTGAAAGTAATCAGACAAGTACTTTGGTTTTGGCTTTGGTTTTACTTCGGTTTGAAATTGGCTGAGTAGTCTAATTGGCAATTATATTGGTTTGGTTTTGGTTTTATGACAGTCAATTGAAAACCACTCTAAGCAGGTGTCCCTAAAGTGGGGTTTGACTGTACTTAGCTGATCTCTGTTGATAGCATCTGTGCTAACTCTCTGGGATAATCAGAGAGTCTCCTGGATACAGATTGAATCTTCCAGTCTACCATATGGCTCACCAAATCTCCCGGACAATACGAAGGAAAGCCCATAAAATACAGTTTTCAGACATATTTTTGCCAACTTTTCGCATTTTTGTTGGAAACATTTTTTGATGTGTGATGCATTTTTGTGGTTGAATTGTCGATGTTCTGCTTCAAACAAATTTTTTTAGGGCCAAGGAGGTAAAACTGGTGATCTCCCAGATTTCAATTTTTTTCTACTGTAATTTGTAAAAGAAAGTGAACTAAATAAAAGAAATATATTTAGTTATATACACTACCAAATAAATGTACATGGAATCCTTATTTGTACTCATAATTGAAGAAAAACTGTACATTTTACAAAAACAGTAATATTAAAATTTAAAAGGTTAGTACATGGCTGCCTGAAATAACAATAATGAGATAAGGAGAGACTGGACAGCTATTCCTTGTGATTATATCATATTTATAATAGGGTACAAATACATTCAACACCATACAAATAAAGACTAAGTTACTTACAGATTTACGGTGACAATTACATGGAAACTACTGTGTAACGACAGATTGGGAGACATAAGTAGAGATTTCTTCTTCATGGACAGAGGTATAAATATTCACAAAGTACAGATGTACTGTCCTGCAGCCTCATCCAAACTTGTAAACTTGTCTATTAACTGCAGTTTAGAAGTTTGACATTTGTGTACTCGACTTTGCAGGTGAGTAATGAGATTATCAAGAGGTGCAGCACCAAAATCTCTCTGGAGGACATCTTTGAGGGTCGGATCAAGACAAGTATGCAGGGCTTGCAGGAGAGTATTGAGTGCTGTGAGTCATGGAAACACACTTACAGTAAGGTAAGGCATTCAAGTAGGTTCAAAATCTGAACATAACAGAGCTATTTGTAGGATGGTTGTGGAATGATCGCAAGAGGTTAAGGTTAAAGTTTGTTCCAGTTCAAAGGATCACACAAGCCAGGTGACTTGTGTCATTGAGGTGTCATGCAGTGGACAGGAACACCACGACTCCAAGTGATCAAGAGATGCCTTTAAGCTAAATCTAAGAACTCTTTCAATTGATTTTTACAACAGACTAACAAACAGAGTTGTATACCTAATACATTACCATGTTCAATTGTTTTTTTTTCATCAGATCAAGCTTGTTTTGCTTTTTAGATCAGTAGAATGCATTCTAAGCTGTCAAATGAGAAGTGGATTCTTGACCAGAGCAGCATCTTTGCCCAAGTGGATGCCTTTGTGCAACGATGCAAAGATCTTCTTGAGGTACTGTAATTGTTATAAGTTCTTATTTTGCCATGCATGATCACAATGTATTATTTAATTATGTGTTCCAGAACACTGCGAAGATACGAGACAAGTATTATCTGACATGAATTCAAAGTATAATTCATATATTTGCATACATGTACAGATCTTCAGGATTGCTGGGTTGCATATCAACTTTTTCAATTTTAATAACCTTATCATGTGCTGAGGGCTTGACATGTACAGATCTAGACTATAGTTGCATTCTGCTGGGGAAGCTCTGCCTGCTGGCTGGTTATGTTCAATAACCAATCAAACTGTGCAGCTAGGACTGACAGGATTCAACCATGAAAAAATTCAACTCTTGCTCCCTTAAGGTGTCAAGGGACCACCCAAACACCACATACTCCTGCCTTCAACACCTAATGCATGCAGTCAGCACAGCGTAAGCCATGACATCAATACCCACTCAAGTTTCTGCGACCATAGAGGCAGAAATCAGGATGTGACAATTTTTATAATCAAGCAATAGTCAGTGGACATATAAATATTATTTCTAAAATCTTGCCGATTTATGATTTGTGAATTTTCACTTACAGGTGTGTGAGGGACAAATCCACTTTGCTAGAATGTATGATGGAGAGAAGCGACCACTGCCATGCTTCCATGGTGTGCGAGGTCCAGAGGTTGTAAGGAGTCTTCTGGAGATTGAAGCAACATTTGAAAAGAATCTGCAGATACTCAAGGATGTTAAGAAAACTATCCTGGATGTCAAGGTAAAGGAGATCATAGCATAACCAGCAGCAGTTCGTTTGGTTGTCTTAAACAAGAAAATTTAGGCTCCTTACCTTTACAGTACCTGGTTAGGGAGAGGCACAGTGACAGTAAATTAGAAAAATGTTTTGATCAAGATCCCAATCAGAGACCCTGGCCAGCACTTGAACTCAGATCTTTTGATCAGACGTCCAAATAGAACAATAATTAAACTATGGCATCCCCTGATGGAAAGCTGCTATGTTAAGGTTAAGAAAGACAACATTTTTTGTCAAAATTCCCTTACTGCTGTACCACCTTGTTCACAGGACTTCTCTACAATACAGAGGAAGAGTCTTATCAAAGACTGCTATGTTATTATTAATAGAGCATTTTGTTTTCTTTTTTTTGTATTTTGAATTACAATACTTGTGGTTGTCAGTCTCATGCTTCTTCTTGGGCAAAGTCCTCTTACAGTATTTCCTGTTTGATAACACTGTGATTATCTAATTTACTGTCAGTGATAATGTCATAGACAAGTCCTCCTTCTTACTGAAATCATGTTTTGCTCAACAGGCAACGACGTGGCATGATGATTACAACAGATTCCGTGCTGGGGTGAAGGACTTGGAAGTCATGGTTCAGAATTTGATGTCCTCTGCTTTTGAGACGATAACCACTGTCCAGGAAGGTGTAGAAATATTGGACATCTTCCAGCATTTGTCATCTAGAGAGGTGAAACATTTTAAAGTTACATTGTAAAATCTCAAAGAATGGCGATATACATACTGGTTATACATGTACATGTATGCATTTTGTGGTAGTTGTAACTGGATTATTTACTGTGTTTTGCCAGGCTGAATGTACTATTCACTTGCAAAGAACTCACTCTCAAAAGAGAAATAAGTAAAACCATAAAGAATTGCTGGCCCAGTTGTGTGGGAAATTAAGGTTCAAGTCTTTTAGTTTGGTCTGGACTTTTCCTAGCCCAATTTTTGGTAATCCTTGTATCAGGAGAAGGTTTGTAGAACTTCAATTAACCACCTTTTCATTGACTCATGTTTGCAGGCTATCCGACGCACAATTGACAAGAAAACAGTGGAAGTGTACCAACTGTTCAATGAAGAATTGAACCTGGTGAAGAAAGAATTCAACACCAAAACTGTGGACTTACCGCCCATGTATCCACATTATGCAGGATCTGCCGCCTGGGCAAGGATGCTCAAGAGGCGCATTGACCGGCCAATGAATGTAAGAATTTGATCAACATCAGTTCGAACCCAGTGCTGTCAAAAAGGGCTATAACCCATAACACCTTTTACGGTTGAACATGCTTGATGGGCCCTTGATGTTACGGGTGAACTTGCCTGTAGTTGATATGTGCAATTTACCTACATGTTTATAAATTAGCAAGTTTTTTACGGGTGTGAAGATCAAGGCTACAGTTGAATCAAAACTTAACGACAGCCCTGCAAACCTACTTTGTAGACTAAGCACAAGTTATTATGCTGAATATGCACATCTAGCTTGTTTATGCAGATGTTTTTCCTGTGTCATAGGTTTTGAAAAAATCCTTCTTTTTGCCATTGATTGGAACTGGAGAGGAAATCAGATCACAATATCAACAACTGGCCCAGGTATCTGTTATTTATTTTTAGAGGTGATGGCTAGAATTCACACTTCATCTGCCAAGTTTGTTGCACAATTTCCAGAGAAAGTCCTCAATTTTAAAGGAAATGGGGGCACTGATCAGTGGTGTACATACTTAATGCAGATTTCTCTTGTATGCATTAGCTATGTAGAATTTTGCAGTATCGCTTTGTTGATTAAATGGGGTAGAACTTACATACAACTCTTTATTGGTGACATTTATCTCTTGCAATTCTGTCAGGTTGTTCCTACAATGTCCTAGTAGCAATTTAAACACCTGGGTGTAGAGAATGCCTGTGATGTTGTTAAGTATCAGCCCTTAGAATACAGGACCAGCTTTTTCAAAGCCCGATCAAGTTAACCCAGCGAGAATTTCGATTTCAGTTTTGTAACTTTTCGGTGAGGTTTCCAGTTTGTATTGTTTGTTCTTCTGTTTTGAGTTTGAATAATCTCAAACTACACAAAACATTAGCAGTGAAAAAAAAAAAAAAAAAAAAAAAATTACAAGTAAAATTAATACTTTGGGTAACTTTTAATCCTGGGTTAGTGCTAACTGGCTTTCAAACAACCCAGCCCAGGATGACATGACAAGGCTGGAAATAGTATCAGTGATTTTTGAATGAAGATAAATTTAATAATATTGAATGTGCTAAACATCCAGCCCAAGGTGTTTACATCCCTATTGATAAATGGCTTCCTTCTATCTTCTAATTTATGGTTTTTGATGTTAAATTTACAATTAAAGAACAGCTGTGCTGAACTGATGATTTCTCAGATTTGCAGTCATAGAAGCACTGTAAGTATTTCACATTTTTGACCATTTTGTTATTCTGCAGGCCCTTGATGAGTTTGTGAGAAAGACTTTCAATGAATGGACATCAACTGTTGACAAAGAGGCTACTAGGCTACTAGAAATTCCTCTGATGCGACGCAGCCTTGACAGATCTGGGACTCTTGATCTCAATTTTGACAGGTTAATTTTCCATTTGCTGTTTTGTTAAATCTATTTATTTAGAAGAGGAGTTGATACTGATCCTGGCTGCATAACTTGTTTTTAGGTGTATAAATTAATGTAGTATCACTATTCACTGTCACTGCTTTCAGTGACAAGTCTTTTCCAATCTCTCCAGTCTTACCGGCCAGTTGTCACCCTCAAAATCTCTTGTTTTCTTTATCCTAAACTAAGTCTGTTTCAAGAATGAATATGCTACACCATTGTATGAAGTTGAAGTCATGGGGGATTGCTTGCCATCAGAACAATGATTCATCTCTCTTCATGCTACCTTTCATGCTCCGCCAACTTCCTTTGGCATCAGTGATAACAGTGACTGCATGCAGAACTTATCAGTTTCTTAAATACGAAAATACTACAGAAAATTTAGCTTTGTGCTATGTTTATTATTGAAAATTATAGTAATGTAACTTTCGAGTTAACTATACAGTGGAACCCTGCCTTGGGGCCACCCCTTTACTATGGCTACTTTGTTATTAAGGTCACTGTATTCTCACTCAAACAAAAGCTCAGTCGGTCACTTTCTTATTTAAGGAACCCCTTTAATATGGCCACCCTGTTAATATGGCCAGATTTTTGTGACCCATTGGTGACGGTATTAATGGGGTTCCATTGTAGTTAAATTATTCTAATGATCTATTTTATGCTTTTTTTATACCCTTAGGACCCTTCTTAAGTTATTTAACGAAATTCACTACTGGGAGAAGTTGATGTTTGAGACACCTCACTATGTGTCGGATCTGTACATGAAGAAGGAAGATCTAAGAATACTCCGAGAAAATGTGCTGCTTGTTGTCCGAGATTACAACAGGTTTGTTCCTTAGATAACAAGGTTGAAAATAAAAGCCAGAGGATAGCATTTAATTGTGGAATCTTTAGTATGAAGCAACTTGGAGTATCAGTGAATCTATTGTTAGTGTCTGTCAGGGGGTAATTATTTCCCAGAAGTTTTGACTGGTTGCCTTTAGGCTCATGATTTGTTGGTGGACAGACCTTCTATGAAAGTTAAGTGATTTAATGCAATTTGCTCACAGTAGCGAAATTGAATTGTGTGTCCAGCCCTGAAATTGTTCAATAATACCCAATGTGGGGTAAGTACTCCCGAGAAAAGTTGTCGATTAACCTTACATTATTTTGTTGTTTCCTGTTTTCAGAATCATAGCTGTTTTGTCCCCGGAAGAGCGTGGATTGTTCAGAGAAAGAATCAGGTCCCTGGACAAAAAGATCCACCCTGGCCTGACCAAGCTAACTTGGGCGTCAAAAGGAATCTCTGATTACTTCATTGGAGAGTGCAGAAATAACTGCAGTAAGGTAAGAGGAGGGTTCAAATTTGTGGATTTTTTAGTAAAGGGACGGACGTTAGTTGGAGTCAGTACACGTGTGTTAGCCTAAATTCCTTGCCCATCAGCCTGTTTTCATGTGTGGACTAAAAGAGATTGTGGCACTTACACGACGAGTCTCGCGAGAAACGAGACGCGTCTCGCGAGACGGAGGTAACTTACTTTTGAGCGGTACTGTACATGTACACGCGTGTAAAATGCGTGTAAGGAGCGTGTCATTATAGGGTTTAAAATTGATTGATCATGTAATCACACGCATATGGGAAAAAAAATTCACGCGTATGCATGTATTGTCTGTATTTAAATTGGAGGAAGAAATTCTTTGTTATTCATTGACACATCTGCGTGTCATTTACTGGTAACTTGTATTTGAAAGACGTGACTTTTGATATTCATAATGAAAAGAAGTAAAATCAAAACAGCGAATAATTACATGTAGCAGACTCGCGCGAGTACGATCAAACAAGTACTGTCGCTTGCTTGCCCACTGCAGTGAGTGTTCTTTAACTATGCCAGCCTTGCAGAAAATCCATTTATTCCATGCTTTCAGACAGGATTTTCTTTGTATCTTGACATATCCTGCAGGGAACTATATCAAGGTTGCACATGCCAGGTTACAAAATTGTATTTTTTTATTTGCAGGTGCAAGATATCGTGGATGACTACAAGAATGCAAACTTGACCATTTCCAAGAACTGCAAGAAGATCAGTGAGATGTTACTTGTCAAGATTGATGGCAAGAGAGTCTATGACAACCTGGAATTTGAAGAGGAACAGGTAATGCACTGGTGAACCAGCCTGGATATTTATTTGAATTACTCTCATAACTGCTGTTTTAAGAACTTTCTGGCAGGTTGTTAGGCGATTTTGTATTTTGAGCTTGTGAGTGAAAATGCAGTCACTTTAATTTGATGATGAAGTCTCTGTCTTGTGGGGTCGGGTAAAATTAAATACTAAAAATGCAAGAAAAGTAAATCTAAAAATCTTAAAAATCCAGGCTAAACTCTGAATGCAGATAAGCATACTCTCTTTGGCTTTAAGGTTTTGGATGGGGAAACTAATGCAATGCATTTTTGTTTTACAGAAAAATCACCGCAGCCTTGTACAGACAAGACTTCAAGTCACTCATGTGGAGATTGTTGGCATCATGAAACAGACATATGAGGTTTTCAAGCATGATGGGCAAGAGGTAAATGTTGCTTACATGTAGATTGCAATTCTTTCCTGATGTCACAGCCTGAAAACCTGAGATAGCATTTAAAAATGTATTTGTAACATTCAGCACTTGATCTCATTGTATAAGATGGTTTAAACGTGGGAATATATCAATTTAGTAGATTGTTTATAGGGTGAACATTATTATATGTATGTTTGCACAAAGCAGTTTTCATTTGAGTGTTAAAAAGTAAATGTTAAATACTACGCTACACGATTGGCTTAAAAAACTCGCTCCAGTTTTCATCTAATCAGGAGTAAAACCAAAACCAATGGTGACTCGCTTGGGCACGTTTTCCCGCGCTCTGCGTCAGCTACGTATAAGTACCTGGAGTTTTGAGTGGTTCACTTGATTGTCTGAGTCGTTTGTAACTGGATATAGTGATTACTTTGGGTTTGGTTTTACGTTGCTCAATTGAAAACCGCTCCTAATGGTAATAATAACACAAAAGAACGCTATATCAATTTGTGGATTTGAAACTGGTTTCTGTCTCTTTTGCTTAGTCTTCTTTTGTTTGTGCTCCAGGTTCAAGCCCATTGGCTTCGTTACACAGAGAAAATGGATCGCATGGTGGAAGAGGCATTCAGATTGAACGTCAAGTGGTCATTACAGGAGCTATCTAGAGCCATCAACGGTGATGGAAAGAGTGTCCCAAACCCTCTACTGAGAGTCAAGGTCGTGTTGGAGGGAGATAAGGTTAGTTCCCATGGGGGTACTTCATAGTAATAGGCTAATGGAGATGTTCCGCTGGATGAGTCGCATTTTCAGAACTGGAATGACTATAATGGGGCTGCATTTACAATAGAGTTACTAGAATGGGGTCGCACATTTTTAGGGATTTTTGGGGTAAGAAAATTCTGGCAAGCAGGGATTTAAAAATGGGAAGATTTGCGGTGAAACTGTTGTTACTGTTCTACATTCAGTTTAACAAATATGTCACTTCATTTTAGGATGAAAGCGACTTAGTTGGGGTCGCGGAAATTACATTTGCCCCAAAGTAACTAAAATGGGGTTTATAATTGGCCACAGAATAGACTATAATAGGAAAGGGGTTTTTAGAGGCCAGCGGCACATACCCAACAAAAATGGACCCAGGTACTACCTAAAGGAGTTTAGTTGTGGGAATGGCAGATGCCTGTTTTGACCAATGTTTAGTGGATTCTGGCTCATCTTGATTGTTTTTTACTTTGAACAGGTTGAATTTTCACCAACACTAAAGAAACTTGCCAGTATGATGGACCAAATAGCTCTGCAGCTGACAACGTGCCTGTCAATCTTCCAGCGACTACCAGATATCCTCACCAAGAAAAGGTCTACTAAAGAGGTAACCACAAATCGATTTAAGCAAGGAATATAGACGGAATATATCAAACACGAAAGACCGTGTTCAACCACATTTCCAAACACCGAGAGGAGAGTTGAAAATACGACGCGCAGCGGAGTATTTCTGACGATCTTTGTGGTGTTTGGAAATCTTGAGTGTTTGATATATCTTCTCAACACCAACACAGTCATGATTTCCTTTCTTTAACCTTGATGAATTATTAATGAGTATTACACATTTACGTGGTGCTGCGCATAAAAATTACAGACTTACCTTTCAGTCAGAGTTTTAGTGCTTCTAGTATCAATGCACTGAATTATCTTGCGCATAAAATACTATAAAATTGGGATACAAATCGCGCTCAGTGAATAGATGCAAAAATCTCCCCAATAATAATCTCTTCTGAATTAAACCCACAGGCTTACATTTGGTTTAAGCCTTCCAATCTTCGAAGCCTTCCGACACTCCTAGAAATGTTTAATCAAGGCCATGTTCTTATGGACGTTCGCGCTTATTGTTTCTGCGCATCCTTATTGCGCATGCAAATTTACACGTCATCCATGAGAGTGCGCACTAAGTAATAAAATGAACAATGATAGGGCAGATGGCCATTGCTATAGCTTTACCTGGATGGAACGATCTTGGACGTTCGGTGACCCCTACTTTTCTTTCCAGAGACAGATTTTATTTACAATTATCTCCACATTGTCCAAAAATGAACAAAAAATCAATGTGGGAAGTGAAAAAAGTTTCAAGATTTCTGTCCACGGAACATCGAATCCTGCCATCTTGCGGCTGCAAGTCGCGTGAAACTACGGTCACTAAATGCGACCATGTATTAATTGTTTTTTAAGGAACCTCACCAGTTTACTAAATTCACCTAAATTCACCTAAATTCACCTAATAGGTCCACTTTAACATTATTTGGCAGAGAACATTTCACGTCAAAGATCTAATTGCAATATTTCTGGGCTTACAGACACTGTGGGCTTATTCGCTTATTCGCTTATTCGCCCGATTTTTTCAGACTTAGGGTGTTCTTCCGGGTATGTTCTCTCCAAAACGAAGTTGGAGACCCCCAACTTTTTTTACATTTCTGACATAACTAACTCATCATCTTACAGTGATAAAAGTCTCAGAAAAAAAATCAATGTTGGAAAATTTTCGCGCGAACCTCCTTAAGTCAAGGTTTTCAACTAACAGGGATTAGACAAGACTTATGAATATTATTTGTGTTTCCTTCTAGCCTGTGTATGTGATTATTGAAAGGGATGAAGAGACAAAGAAGATTCAAGCAAGTATCAAGGCGGGCATGTCAGCTAACGCCTCTCATCTGCAGTCCTACCTTAGCACATGGGATAGGTATGAATCATGCACAATTAATGTTCAGTGCTGAATAAACTCATACAGATTAGCCGCTGTTCTGGACAAGCTATGTAAAATGTACAGTCAAGTTGAAAAAAGATATAAGACAATGAAGATTAAGTTGTTTGGTTAACAAACATATGCACTAAATGTTATGGCTGTTTTAACACCTTTTATACACCTGAACTGTTTAGAAGCAGGATTTTAAATACACTTCCTTTATACTCTTGTATTAGATGTGGTGTGCAAATGGCATCTGTTACTTTATATGAAATTTTTTTATTAATTTTATGAAACTGCTCATCGATGTAGGCTTACAACTTACCCTTAATAGCTAAAAGTCAATAAGATTTGAGCTTTAGATGTAAGGTGCTTTGCGTTTCATCCTAAATAGTACTAGTATCTAATGAAACCTCTTACTGTTTAGCTACCGAGAAATCTGGGAGATACAAAAAGATGCCTTCATCAGAAGATACCAAAGACTTAACCCACCAGTGTCTTCCTTTGATGGAGATATTTACAGGTTTGTGAGTCATAATCATTTAATCATAAAATGTTAATTCTCGTTACTGATTGCTAGGCATTGTTGAAGCATTGGTTCTGAGAATTCACAGTAGTGGCTTCATACATGCTAAAAATAGGGAGGTAGGATTTGGTTACGATGTGACTTTATTACATGGCTAGCTCCGTAAGCGGGAAAGATGAACGGAATCCTGTGCCGTGATTGGCTACCTGAGCGGGCAAGATGTCACTCGGGAGTACCCGTTGTGTCCCGCAAGAAAATAGCGTTCTTTTTCGACCAAGCTTGTTCAGTCAAGATGGCAGGATATTGGCAAGTTCTTTTTTTGCGTGTTCATGGACCTCGACTCCATCTCGGTCCATAAGATTTCAGATTTCAGATTTTTTAGTCTATCTATAACACGCATAAAAAAGAACTTGGCCAGTTTGGAGCCATCTTGACCTCACACTTGGTCAATAACCTATATTTCATTAATGAAATTTAAAGAATAGTGTTTACATTTTATCAGAAAAAGGGAAGGGGTGCATCCCCTTGATTTACCACAAAAATAAATGGTTTACACTCCTACGTCGTTCATTTTCCAGGTATACAGAAATTGTCAACAACTTTCAGAAAGAGGAAACGGTGCTAAACATTGATTTTGTGCTGCTGGACAACTCACCATTGAAGTTCGCTCTTTTAGGCCATTGTAACGAATGGCAAAACAAGTTTACTACCCTCCTGCGTGAAATGGGCAGTCAGAAACTGCTGGAACTGCACAACTTCCTAAAGGACAATGCCAAGAAGTAAGTATTGTACAGTTAGAAAAAATCGATTTGTACTTTCAGGTTGTGGTTCTCTCAACCCAGCTACACGATCTTACAAGACATGATGACATAACGACTTGATCGCTTATGTCGATAATGTGAACATCGACATGAAGACTTCAGGAAAACATCATTTCTTTCCTTATGTCGTTATGTTCATGCCGTTATGTTGCTATTAAGTCATCACGAGAGCATGTTCACACTGCAAGCAAAACGACATAACGTCCTTTTCTAGGTCTAGTTCACACTAGCGGCTTAACGACATTAGGACTTAAGAAAGGTCGCTATGTCACTATGTTTGCAGTGTGAACATCCTGACATAATGACATAATAGCCACATAACAGCATGAACGTAGCGGCTAAAGCAAAAAACACTGATCTCACCTTACGTCTCAATGTTCACATTGCCGACATAAGCGATTATGTTTTTATGTCATTGTGTCAATTGTGTCGTTTTGTCGCTAGTATGAACTAGGCCCAACAGATGCCTTTTTTTCTGCATTGTCTTATCAGACTCAGTGCTCCACCAGAAACACTTGATCAGCTTGGTGATAGTCTGGCATTACTGGAACAACTCCAACAAGACTTGTCCAACATCGAGGCAAAGTTTCCACCTCTACATCAACAGTTTGCTATTCTTGAGAAGTACGAAGTTGCTATCCCTGAGGAGGTAAGAAGACATAAGACCTTAGCAAGAGAGAGGTGTTTGCTCTCGAAGTTACCTTGAAACTTGTTTCGAATAAAGTTTAATTACGTCTTTATGAAACTCTGGTGTGTGACCTTTCAAATGAAAGCTATCGAGCGGTACTTTCATGTGGTAATGTTCATTATGCTTTACAAAACGCATCTAACTTTCAAGTGTGTGGATAAATCTTTATCTTGTGTGACCATTCAACTAAATGCTATTTACACAACTGTAATCAAGTGCTACTTATCTAAGGCAAAGATTGAAAAAGTAACTAAAGACTGTATACCTTATTTAAACAATTAGTTGGAGATTTTCTTCGGTATGACAATATTTTTCGTCGTTGCAAGACTAGTGTGAGTGAAAAAATATTTGAATGTAGAACACCGATTTATTACATTAAAAAGTACTGAATGTGAGTGGTTTTATTTTTTTACAGGTACAGCAGATGCTTGACCAGCTTAACGGCGAGTGGGTGTCCTTCCAGCAGTGTTTGATTGACAGTGACGCCATGCTGAAGAAAAGCAAGGAGAAGTTCAAGACAGGACTCATTCACTCTTCAGAGGACTTCAAGAAAACTGTCACAACACTGTTTGATGAATTCCAGAACAAGGGTCCATTCAACAGCTCTATAGCTGTGAAGGAGGTTTGTGAACTAAAAGGAACTACTTCACGGTTTGCACGTTTTGAAGCGTTTAGCCTAAATTTTTTTCAAGTTCGTCGTTTGTAATCCGTGTTAATCTTCTCCAGCCTTAAAGTGCACCTAACCCCCCAAATTTTTTTTTCGCTAAAACGAATCCACTTGTTATTTGAAGCATTTGGGCGAAAAAATTTTTGAATTTGGTTGAATCCTCGATTTCCTATGCCCTTTCAAAGTCGCGCCTGAAGTGTTTCACGACCGCGTTTTAGGGAGTCTGGGGCGGCGGTACCTGATAAAGTCTACCCAGGAACCAAACACAATGGCGCCTCAGTCAGCTCTCTGTATTTGCTCGAGAAAATGGAAAACAAAACTAATCGTTCCAATTTATTTTGGGAC